GTTTTATTAGAATGTGCAGGATTTGATGACTTCTTCACCATGTAAGTAAGTCTTGTCTGTGGACTTTTTTTTTCTTTTTAAATAGTTTATTTCTTTTACCCTTTATCTTATCTTAATCCATTAATTTCTGCTTCCTGAATTATCCTATACAGACTACAGCACAGAAAGTTCACAGAGGTTCTTTTCTCTTTTTGTTTTTTAGTCTGGATTAGTAACTTGGCTAGAGGAGCCTTCTCACACTAATCATACTAATTGAAGGAAAAAATTATATGAACGCTTTGGTAAATTTTGTCCATGGATTGTATTTGCCTACTTTGACAAATGTCTTAGCCATGACTGCTAACTGAAAGGTGTCTTACAACTATTATATATAACATCTTTTTTGAGCTCTATTAAGATAGAAAACTAAGGTTTTCTTAGAATTCATGAGAAAAATTAGTGGATCTAGTTTATTTTTTTTAAGTTCATGTTCACTGTATACTCAGGTTCATTTCTAATCGCTTGGGTTTATTTAATGATTTGGGATTAATATTGAACCCATTTACCTGTTTAACTCATAATCATATGCACAACTACTCTCTATGGGACTTCCCTAAAATTACAAATGTATTATGTCTCTAATGAGAATAGATATTTAGAATTCTCAAAAGTACCCTGCTGTATTAAAAAGTCTCAGTGAAATGTTTCTATTGAAGGAGTCAGAAGAAAATGAAGGCACATTTTTTGTTGTTTAAAATAGAATTGAAACTCTCATCCTCTTTTGTTTTTTTTAAAATTTTTTTATTTAAATAAGGAGAATTCTTTCATATGGAAAGAGCTAATACAATCACATGTTTGAAAGGAGAAACAATAGGTACTGAAATGGAGGGAAAGGGCAAGAGAGTGCCACCACTGGCCTGGTGATTCCGTGATTCTAGTTTCCCATCCAAGTTAAGATAGTTTCCAAAAAATAATATATAAAGAGGTTGCACATTACACTTTTATCCATTGTCTACCCTTTCAAATATCTGGTCTACATGAAAAGACAAAGAGAGGAAAGGCCAAAAAAACAAAAACAAAAAACCCAAACAAAATCTTTTACTATACAGGGCATCTCATGCTCTTTTGTTATGTCGCTTTCATTTGACTTTTTTTTTAAATAGAACTTTTACAAACTGTGAAGTATTGGGATATTCCTATTTTTTCCCATTTAAAAAACTGAAGAAACTAAAGTGCATTGACCAAAACAATAAAAATGAAAACCATATTCAATATTAAGCCTCCACAGTTCATCAGTTTGCATGAAAGGAGGTCTTTATCTGATGAGATTTTCTTTTTGGTTGTTGTGAAATAATGAGAAATATCAGTAACTCAAGTGAAGGGACAACTCGTGTTTTACCCAGAGTGCTGACTTTCTCTGCAGAGAATCACCTCTTACTGAGTTTGTGTGATACCTTCAACACAAAGGAGGGGAGTATTTATCACTGGATTGTTTCCTTATGTTCCCTTTTTTGGCAAGATATCTGCCATTTGACTATAACTAACATTAGATTAATTTACAATCAATGAAGGACATTGGGATATACTATGTCATTTCATTTGCTACATCAACAACTTGAATTCACACTACATATTAATAACACCGATAGAATAGTAACTGGTATATTTTAAGTGGCAACAGGATATAAGATAAATGATATAACATCAATAACTGTAAAGGAGAGATAAGTTTATTAAATATGTAGCAGAAGTAAGATGAGGTGATCTAACACCGCTAACTGTAAAAGAAAGATAAATGTGTTAAATATATACCTGTAGACAAATGTAATTCTTGCATTATCTGATTCAATGGGCATGTCATAACATGAAGTTAAAATAAAAAATATTTAATATATCATATACTTAATTGAAATATTCAGATAATCTTTCACTGCAAGGTGGTAGCTTGGGTTGTATATTTGACAGGCATAAATCTAACAAAGCCTTTCAAAAGCTTTGTTCAGTTCTTTTCTCAATCAATAAGTATTTATTAAGTGCTTACAAGTGAAAAACACTGTATTGAATGCTGGTGATATAAGCACAAAACATTAGATAAACCCTACTTCAAAAAGCTTATATTCTAAAGAGGAAAATAGTATTTATAGAAATATAAAATGAATGTGTACAAAGCAATTAAATACAAAGTAACTTGAGAAGGAAGGAATTACCAATTGTGGAATCAATAAAGGCTTAATTTAGGAGATCATCATGAGATCTATCTTAAAGGAAGAGTGCTTTGTTAGTTGTAGTGAAGGTATATATTCCAAGCATGTGGGATAGCCATAGCAAAGGCATAGAGACTAGAAACAGACATATAGGGTGTCCCAAAAGTCTTAGAGCAGTTTTAAAACATTGGGGACACTATATATAAATATGCATGTATGTGTGTATGAACACATATATATGGATTGTGTATGCATATACGTATGTATGTATGTATCTATGTCATCTGCATTACAGATGAAGTTATGGGATTTGATGTGACTAAGAGAGAATGTAAGGAGAGAAGAGAAGGGAGCCTCAGACAGAACTTTGGGAAACATCTGTTAATTAGTGGACATGCAAATGAATCTTATTATGAAGGATATTACTGTCCTGCTCTGATATCTCATTGTGCCGTGAAGATATTAGGGGTCCTCAAAGGCTAGTGCAACATAGCATAAACATTGGCACAACCTATAAAGCTGAAAAGGCTTGATGACATTTTATGAGTCTGCTTTCCAAAGAACAACGTAGCTAAAGTTTAGATGTACTCATCACCAGATCATCATAGTCAGTTACTAATATTTTTTGACCATTCCAATTCAAGACCACCATCTATTAAGGCATGAAAAAGTTATGCTCTGCGTCAAAGAGGGTGTACCAACACTGATGAAAACACGGCTCATTTTTAAGGTTTTGAAATAAATTAGAAGACTGTTTGGCTAAACATTTGTTTAATTTGGAACAAGATGCAGAATCAGCAGCTTTTCTGAGTTGAAAAGGATTTCAGTCACCATCTGATCCAGTCCATGCCTGGAAAAATAAAAAGCTTCTCTACAACATACCTGACAAACAATCATTTTTTTAAAAGACCTCTCACATTAGGGAATCATTATCTCCCAAGGCATTCCATTCTATTCTGCGATAATTTTAATTATTAGGAAGCTTTGTTTTGTTTTGTTTTTCCTTTATACTAAATTCTAACTTTCTAACTGTTTTAGAAAATTGTCCTCATAGGAAGCTTGTATCAGGTAGTCTATGGAACATCGTTAATGTTTAAACAATTACAGTAGTTTATACTGAACTCTCTATGTAACAGGGGGATATTTAAATAGCTACTTTTGTTTTTGGTTTTCCTTAAAGAAACATCTATGCCCATGATTTCAACTGAACTTTGGTAACATGCCAGAAGTGATTTGAATCCTTGCAATTAGTAGTTTAAATTAAGTTTTTGTTTCTTTGCTTCAACTCAATTAGAGTTTCTTTAATTAAAAAAATAAACCTATGCAACAGGGATCATTTAACCAGGGAAAGAGAAGACTTAGGAGGTGACATAATAAAATCGTCTTCAAATTTACAAGGCTGTCATGTGAAAGAGTATTCATTGTGTTCTCCTTGGCCCAAGAAGATAGAACTAAGGAGAAATGGGTAGAAATTGGAAAGAGGAAAATTTAGGCTTCAGTTCAATAAAAACTTCATAACAATTAGAGCTATCTGAAAGGCTGCCTTGGGTGGTAGTGGTTTCTCCTTTTTTTACAGGTCTTCAGGCAAAGGATTGATGGCCATATATTGGAAATCTTGTGAAAGGAAATTCTTTTTCAGATATGAGTTGGTCTTGGGGACCAATGAGATCTCTTCTGACTCTAAAATCCCTATGACTCCATGATTTCCTGATCCTCCCAATTGTTGGCATTTTCTTCTTCCTCTGATTACCTTGCATTATATCAATCTGTTGACATGTCATTATCCTCTTGGTAGAACCTAAGCTCGCTGACAAGAATTGTTTAATTTTTTACTTTATGTCCCCACCTCCTAGCACAGTACCTTTCGAATAGTATGTGCTTAATAAGTACCTGTTCATTTGAATTAAGTGTGTTGAACATAAACCACAGAACTATACTGTGGTTTTGAATGTTTAGGGAAGTGAAAAGACTGAACAATGGATAAATAAGCTAACTTTTGTTAATGACATACTTTGAATTTTTCTTTGCTTTGATGAACAGTTTGCCATGTCTGAATACAAATTTGTAAGCTGCCTTGAAGAGTAAATTAAAAATTAAGAGACAGTGACAAGTCTAAGGTTATTAGGAATCAAAAAACAACACTTGGGTATTGAAATCCTCACAGAGTTACTGATTTATAATGTAGAACAAAAGATACAAATAAGAGTTTGAGATACTTATACTGTTTACATAAAATTTATCTTGTTCACTGGATTCCAGCATGGCCAGCTTTCTTCCTTCTGTGTGCCCTAAGAACTGTGAAGTATAAATCAAATTTAAATCTTATGATTCACTTTTGCATGAACTCAGAACTTAATTTGAATTTTTGAGATAATTGTTTAATTGTTTAATGTTCTATGTATATACATAGAAACTTAATATATTTTGCTTGTGGAGATTTGCTTCCAAGATAACAAATTTGTGTTTTTATAAATATCTCTAACTTGGCTATTTTGAAAGTTCTCTAAGGATTATTTACATTACATAAGAGTTTTCCTTTAAATTTCTACCATTCCTAGTACAATTTAAAAGTAAGACTATTTACAGATAAATTTTGAGATATACATTTTGAGATACTATGCACATTGGTGGCTAGAAACCTAACATGTATTTATGGATTAAACCTGTCTGATGTATAAATTAAAACACATCCACCCCTGCTATAATACCAGATTATCACAAAAAGGTAAATTGGCTATAGAATGATTTGAAATCTCATGAGAACCTTTTGAAAAATGAACATCAGTTTGAATATCTCTTTGTAATTTTTTCTTAAAGGAGAGCGTGGTTCATCAGTTACCACCTGAGGGTTTACTGCAGGCCAGGTTTGTCCATCTTTTTTTCATTTACTTTCTAAGATAATTCTTTAGTCATAATAATCCTAAAACATGTTACTTTCATATTTTTGGCAGTGAGTATCCCGCAGCACCCCCTGGCCACACTTCTTCCATGAACAGTCCAGTACCCTCCAGTGGTAAGAAGTCTTGGAAAAGCTATTCCCTGTGTGCTTTGTTGAAATGTGCAAATAAGTACCTAGGCAAATGATACATTTGAATTGTATTAATTTGGTCTGCTTCCTCCTTTTTGTAGATTCAAGCTCTGGATTTTTGACTATCGCCTCTGATCATTTTGATTCCAAATTGCAATGTGAAAAAGAGGAAACAGCACCATCAGCTTCTATAATGATAGAAAACCAAGGTGAGGTGTAAAATGACACAAGGAAATATTTTTATCCCAAGACCGTAGATAGTAAAACTATCGCCTCTGAGAATTTTGTGACAAAAAGGTAAGGAACTCTGATTAATTTCTAGAACTCACTATCTTCTCCCCCAAATCTACTCCTCCAAACTTCCTATGTTTGTCAAGGGCACCACTATCATCCCAGTTATACAAGTTCATAACCTGAGTTACACTTAATTCTTTCTTCCCATTACCCCACGTATCTAATCAGTTGATAAGTCTCATAGCTTCTGTTTTAATAACGTCTTTTCTATCTGTCCCTTTCTCTCCACTCAAGAGTATGGTCACTATACTAGTTGAGCTCATTCATTTTATTGATGAGGAAATTGAGGGCCAGGGAAGTTAAGTGCCTTGAACAAAGTCTCCCTAGTAGTATATACTTCAGAGGTAGCATGTTGTCTGATTCCACAGCTAGCCTTTCCATTGTACCGTGCTGCAGCTCTCACTGAAACACTCCACAATTTGGCTCCTGCCTGATTTTCCAGGTTTATTTCATGTTGCTCTACATTTCTCTTAACTCAACCTTCTATACAAAAGTCCTGGAATATACTTCCTCTTCATTTCCACTTCTCAGACCATAGGTTAGTTCAAGACTCTGAACAAGGGCTCACCTATACTCAGATATTTCCTGATTGTCTCAGCTGTCAGTGCTCTTTTTCTCCTGAAATTACCATGTATTTGTTTGTCTGTGTACTTATAGTATCCCCCTGTAAAATATCAGCTTTCTGAAGAAAAGGATTACTTTTATTGTTCTTAATTTTTGTCTTCGTATTCTATAACCTCTAGCACAGGGCCTTTCATACAGTAAGAGTGTGACAAATTTCGTTGAATTGAGTTAAATTATAAGTAAGAAAGCTAAGGGGTAAGATGGCCTTGTTTGCTGTTTTTTACTTGCTCTGAGGACAGAGGGAGAGGAAATAGGTCTAAACTACAGGATGAAGATATTTGATGAGACTTGAAAATTTCCTAATAGTGATGACACTGGGACAGATAACTGAAATAGGACCTATATACCTTACCTACTTCCTAGGAGATATTTAAAATCAAATCTAATTTTTTCAGAATGATTTAGCAACCAGGCTACAAAAAAAGTAATGATATTAACTGGATGAACTTTAAAAATGCCCCTGCAGCCATGTGATTCTGAGAACAAGCTGTGGCTTTTAGCCACTTGTAGCTGGATAGCACTATGCTTGTGTTCATTGAGAATCTAGGCCAATGACCAAATAGGGGAAGGAAAATAAGCAAACTTCATTTCCTGAGACAAAGATATTTCAGATGGGGCAGTAGTAATGTGGTAATATATACATTTTAGATTTGAATTCTATTGCATAGCACAGCAACCAAAAATAATCTTAATATTATATGATTAATTTTAATGATCAACCTCGGCCCCAAAGGAGGTATGAGAAACTGTACCTCCCCCATGTTGGAAAGCAAACTGGAACTATGCCCCCAGAATAACTAAACTTTTCATACTCCTTGACCCAGCAATACCAACAAGATGAACAAAAGAAGGAAAGTATTTATTTATCTATCTATCTATCTACCTATATGTGTGTATGTATTATATTATATATATAAATAATAAATATATATATAATGTATGTGTATATATATACATATATATATATACATTTACACAAAATTTATAAAAGATCTTTTTTGTAAGAGCAAAAAGCTGGAAACTAAGGAGATACCTATTAATTGGGGAATGCTGAAAACTAATTGTGATATATGAATGTAATAGAATATGGTTACTTCACTTTAAAAAGTGACAAAATTAATGGTTTAAGAGAAACAGCCTAGATGAACTGACATAGAGTGAAATGAGCTTAACCAGAAGGACAGTTTATATAATAAGAACAACATTGTAAGGAAAAATAACTTTCAACAACTTAGGAACTTTGATCAATCCAATGGTAAACCACAATTCCAGGGGACCAAAAATGAAGCATGCTACCCACCTTCTGACATGTGATAGCCTGAAGACACATATGCTTTCGGAGGCAATGTGGGAAATTACTTTGCTTTACTATTCATATTTGTTAGGATTTTTTTTCTTTTCTTTTTCTGTTCAATTGTGGTATGGGAGGTGGTAGGGAGAAAAAAATAAGTGCTTGATAATTGAAATTTTTAATATATCTTTAAAAATATACATACCTCTGTCCCTTCTCTACAGAGAGAGGAAAATGTAGGCATGCAACATTTCATATGTACTGTTAGACATAGTTGATATGTTGCTTAATTTTGCTGAGCTGCTTTTTTTCATTTTTCTTTTTTATTCTTTGTTACAAGGGATGGGCTTACTAGGGAAGAGAAAAGAGATAAATTTGGAAGTGAAGATGATAAAAAATTTAAAAAATTAAAAATAATCATAATAATTACCTTAAAATAGTGCAAATGTATGAATTTAAAATTATCTTTGCCTCTTTAACCTATGGGTTTTTTTATCTAAAGAGAATTACATTAAGTTAAAGGAAATCACTTTCACATACTGGTCTATGTATGGAATCCCCAATATATATTTATCAAATCACAAAAGGTAGTCATGATTCTGAAAATTGTTTACCATTCCATTCCCAATTTCTTATTGATATAGTAATGATACAGTTTGTGTATCTCATTATTCCTTTTAACATGATCATAAGCGTCCTTTCACCTATTAAATTATAAGCTCCTTGAGAGCAAAGGATATCTCATCTGTCTCTGTATCTCCAGCACATTATATATAGTAGGCACTTAATAATGAGTATTTGTTGAATGGAATTTATGAGACTGAGCAATACCTCTCTAAATAAAGTTCCATGCTGGCTATGCACTATCATTTTATTTTTATTAGCAAATTATACCCATTGCCTTTGAGCATTGGGGAATTGTTTCCGTGGATTTTTCCAATTCTAGTCAACTTTAACTTTTAGAGCTTTATATATATCTATGTATGGGTAGATTTATATGTATATATGTTTACTTCTTAAAGGTCCATAATGACTGTTCATGTCCCCCTCATCTCTTCCTTCATCTCTCTCTATTAATCCTTTTTTATTTCATCTACTCTTTTGTGTGTTTTTCTCTCACAGGTAAAAATTTAGCTAATGAAGATACTCCACTTCACATCTTTATGGATGAAAAGAAAACCACATTAAATTTGGTAAGAGACTAGGCCAATGCTGTTATTAATGGTGATCACAATAGCATTGAATTAGATCTAGCAAAGACTTTAGAAGCTCTCTAGCATGATGTCCTCATTTCGCATTCAAGAACCTGCACCCCAGAGAAGTTAAATGACTTGCCAAGAAAAGTTAGTGAGTAACCAAGCGGGACTTCTAACACAGGTTGACTAATTCCAAACCCAAGGCCCTTTATGATGATAATAATGAAGATGATGGTGATGATAACATTCTACATTTGTATTGTACTCTTTCCTTTTTCAAAGAACTTCCACAAACATAATGTCATGACATCACAGATTCTACAAATAGAATTTGTTAAACCCTTATTTTGAGACTCCACCTTTATATTTTTTTTTGAGAGAGTGAGGCAATCGGGGTTAAGTGACTTGCCCAGGGTAACACAGCTAGTAAGTGTCAAGTTTCTGAGGTCAGATTTGAACTCAGGTCCTCCTGATTCTAGGGCCCGTGCTCTATCCACTGTGCCACCTAGCTGCCCCTAATTTTTTAAACATTTCAAGGATCCACAGTTGTACCATTCTAGATTCTTTTCTCTACTCATATAGATCACAGCTCTTCCACACCCTTCTAAACCAAATTCAACAAATGCTATGACCGAAAACATTATTCACAAGGTAACTGAGCCTATGGGGATGAGTCTCTTCCCACTTAGCTGGCTGCCTTTTGGATAACATTAAACACCCATGTCCGGGGCTTTATTTGAACTCTTTCCAGCTTAGTAAGACTTGGGAAGGTTATGCTTCACTGGTATAGCCTTTGAGATTCCAAGTTTTCCTCTACCCCATAATGAGACATCATGGTAAGGCTTTAAGTATGGTAACCCTGGATTCGCAAAAACTATGCCAGCAGATTAAAGGCTGATTTCTGTATGTAATAGAAACATTGCTCATTCTTCTTGATTGCTCTTCTAACCTGCAGTAAAGATTTTGTTAGGGACTCTCTTATTCATCCTCGTATCACCAGTGCCTAGCACGGTGATTTACATATATTAAAGCTTAATGAATGTTAAATAAAGTGAATAGAATATTTTGAACATTAACTTTTTGTTAAATAAACAATTATGATTTCATAGGCTGTCAAATGCATCCTCCTATGCAATATAATTAGGACCCTGTTACATCACAATCCCACGGTTTTAGTTATGAAAGAGGAAATAATTTTATGTCCAGTGAAAACAATATTTGTTATCTATGTATACAGTAAAAGTACTGTCTACCACCATTTTTCTACATCAGCACATTTCATGATAAACTTTGTGTCAAAATAACCCTCAAAGGTCTGTGCTTTCCTGCCTCTCTAGAAGTGAAGTAATGTGGTGTAGTAGGAAGAACATTGATATTCAATCTAGGAGACCTGTGTTCAAGTCTTGGTTTTCATTATTTTCTAGCCATATGGCTGTGAATAACTCATAAAAACCTCTCTGAACTACTCTCCTCATCTATACAATGGGGATAACAATATTTTTCCTGCCTCCCTCTCAGGATTCCTGTGAGAAAAGTATTTTATAAATTGTGATACCCTATGTGAATGTAAGCTGTCATTGCTAATAGTATTTATTCACCGTATTTCTCCCATCTCTATTCAATATGCCCTTTCCATTCCTCTCTGACTAATAAAATGTTCAAATTCTAATCCCTTCTCTTCCATGGAGATTTCTCAGACTATTCTGGGTCTATAGTAAGTGATCTCTGCCTTCTCTGAACTCATAGAACTTATTGCCAATATCCACTGATCTAAGCAATTAATTACCATATGACTGATCTTCTTTTGTTGCCTTTTACTTATTTGACTTTTCAAGTCTTTATACCTTGTCTCCCTAACTAGACTATATAATTATAAAATTTATAGAATTATAAAATCCTAGACTCCAGGTTTTCAGGCCTTGCCTTGCATATGCTAAATACACATTAAATGTCTATTGATTAAAAAGAAAAACCGAAAGCATTATAAAGAACTGTATTTGTAGTAGTACTCTGGTGGTTCTTTATCATGTCTTTCATCTCTACAAATTTTAGGAAACCAAAGAACAAGCTGAAGCAGTTATGGAATGTAAAGAAGAATATGCTACTGGAGGAGGTAAGAGGAGTTTTTTCCCACTTCTATGTTGATGCAGAATCTCACTTAGACACACTAAAATTCTGCTACTTGACCTAGGGCTAAAACAACAAATGAAAGCTCATATTTGACTCCATTTTTGTCTCCCCTGCTTTGAAACTTCAATGATTTTGTGATCTTATTTATTTATTTTTTGACTAGGCAATGGGGTTAAGGGACTTGCCCAGGGTCACACAGCTAGTGTTATGCGTCTGAGGTCGGATTTGAACTCAGGTCCTCCTGAAGTCAGGGCACCACCTAGCTGCCCCAATTTTGTGGTCTTATTGATAATGGTATTCCTGAAAATCACAGCATACTCATACTTTTTTGCACTCTTCTATTTGTGTCTGTGCCAATCTGTAAATCTTTCTCTAGATCTCCTGACATTCTATGGGAGAGGGTTATCCATTGGTTACCCTTTATTCTCTCTACATGACTGGCCCACATGTTTTTCTGATCATTCATGTCTCTGATGATATCTTTTATATCAATTCTCCTGCACAATTCTTCTTTGGTGACAAGTTGTTGCCTACTCTTACCCACCATGAATGGACTTTTTGGGTGGCCTACTACTCAGATTCTTCTCCAGCTATGCTGTTCCATGACTCACAGCCAAACAGAAGGGAAGTATACCAGTATTAAAAAGATGAATCTTTGTTTGAGGGAAAAACTTGGAGTCATTAAAAGCATTGCCCAATTTCAATTCAGGCAATTCAGCCTTCCCTCCTCCTTTTATTCAGTTGTGGATTCTGTTCATTGTCCATCTGTAGTATCTATTCAAAGTATATATGTTGATTAGGCACTTAAATGGCATTGTGGGTAGAGTGCTGAAAACAGAGTCAGGGAGACCTGAATTAAAATCCTGCCTCGGATACTTACTAGTTGTGTGACTGTGGGCAAGTCACTTAATCTCTCTTAACCTAAGTTCCTTCACCTATAAAATGGAGATAGTACCTATCTCACAGAATGGTTATGAGGACTAAATTACACATACACATACATATGCATACACACACACACACACACACACACACACAAACAAACAACTATAGTACTTTGTAAACTTTAAAGTGCCATACAAATACTATTATTATAATTGCTGACGGAGTAGCTCTGTGGGTTTCCTATCCATCTCCATATCATGGTCTGGAGAATAGAAGTTCTTCAGCCACTTGGTTTTTCCAGTGTGAATTATTCAGCTTAAACTGTCTTGAGTGATTGTGGATCTCACCAAGGTTCTGCAATATTCTAGATTTTCATGCTGATAAGGTACAAAAGGGAAAATCCAGAGGAATTTATATGGAATCTCTCTTATTGTCCTGGAGATCTTTCATAATCATGGCAAATATCTTTGGCAAGTACTTGTCACCCTCTTTAATGCCTCATTTAATAGTAATAATCAAGGAGCATTAAACATATCTGTCTCCTTTTATACATCTTTCAAGAATCTTGTGTGATTTTGTTATATGGATGGGAGATATTTTTAATATATTTTTATTTATCTTGTTAAATATTTTCCCATTGCATGTAAAAACATTTTTAACATTGATTCCCTAAAATTTTGAGTTCCAAATTCAGAGATACTTTTTTGAAAGAGAATGAGAAACAGCTTTTTGATCCAGCATATCAAATGCTTTTTTTATAACCAGCAAACTATAGACACAATGGAGACACTTTATCATCTACACCTTCCAATTCATTTGGAACTATAACTATAATGATAAAGATGTAGCATATCATAGGACATCATTTCAAAAAACTTACTTATTCCCAGTAACTTAAGCAGTTATGCCTCAAAATGTTAACATCAGATGATTACCCTTCATTATTCCCACCTGCCTCTACATGGGTCTGAAGTTTTAATTGCCATTTCAATTTTGTGAGCTGACATATTTGTGAAACATATATAAAACATGAGCTTCTGCCAAAGTGATGCAAAGTTCTAAGGTCCATTTCTTGTAGGGGAATCACTAGTTTCCCTTTTTTTTTCTTTATTGAGAAATACCTTGGTAAATATTCAATTAACAAGAATTTGTTAAGGGCTTTGAATTTGGCCAGTATATATTACTGCTAAGAAATAGGGTCATATTTTTTCAGCATTCAGCTCCAGTAAGAGCAGCTGTAATATCTATAAACTTGAGAGACTCAAGCCACATTTCAGATATTTTTGTAAATCACAGTGTTTAGTTTCATCACTGGAACCAGTGTGATTTTAACATTCTGATTGAAATCATCAGGACTTCAAGTTTAAGCTATAATAATATAGCTGACCTGGCTTTTTGAATGACATGATCTTTTTTTTTTTTGGTTACTTGTTCTTTATGGGATATAACTCAGCCAAATGAAGGGACATTAAGTAGTTAACGTGATTTAACCAAATAATGTCCTTTTTGTCCCTTAATAGAAACTGCTGCTTCTACTATTCCGGTAACCAGTGTTAAATCAGTCAGCTTTAGACAAAGTGACCAGTAAGTTCATTTTACCATAATCCATGGATGTTTCTTATTACTTTCTTGGGGGTTTTGTTTGAAGTCCTTCTCTTTCTTGTTCAGCAGCATTTCTACAAATGAAAAAGAGGTAGAGGTAAATATGAAACATTTTCTATTTTTGGCTTTTACCAAATATAAAAAGATCCTCAAGTTCACTCATGCATAACTGGGTCATGAATCCTCTCCTGTTTGGTTGGCAACACTGGGATTTGGCTTACTAAGAAGCAGCTTCACTAAGGCCCCCTTATATATCAGATTCATTTGTGTTTCTTGATGCAGTCTTTCTTTACATTTAAATCTGGTATTAACTCTAATTTTCTCCCTTCATTCCTATACCCCTTTTATATTATTTCTATAACAGGCTGAATTTCTTAGATTATCTTTGGGATTTAAGTGTGACTGGTTTACCTTGGAGAAAAGAGTCAAGCTTGAAGAGAGGTCTCGGGATCTGGCTGAAGAGAATCTAAAGAAAGAGATCACTAACTGTTTAAAGTTATTAAAGGTTAGACCAAGAATATTTGGGAACTTTTTCTATACTCTGGAGCCTAGAGAGGTTTCAGAGATTGGGTAACACTACAGACAGTTCTTTTTCTTTTTCAAAGAGTTTTGATTTTCTTCCAAGTCTAAACTTAGATGCTACTTCCTCTGTGAAGCCTTCCCTAATCTTCCCAGTTGTCTTCTCTTTCCCTTTCACATTAGCTTGAGGTTATTTATACATATGTTTATACTTTTAGTCAAAAACATCTAGAAGGCAGGCACTGTTTCATTTCTGTATCCCTGATGCATAACAGAATGTTTTGCGCACAGTAGGTATTTAATGTTTGTTGAATTCATTTGAATGTAACCTTAAGATCAAATTTGCTATTTTTTTCCTACCATGCCACATTATTAGCTCATCTGACTTACAGTTCACTAAAATCCCCAGATTTTTTTTCCTCGCATGAGCTATGACCTAATCATACCTCCAAACTTGTGCTCCTGAGGTTGATTTTTCTAACCCAAACATGAGACTTTATCTTTATTACATTTCATTTTCTTAAGTTGAACCTATTGTTCTAACTTACTGAGATCATTTTAAATTCCAATTATTCAACATATTAATTAGATCTCACATGTTCTGTCATTACTTCTCCCTCAGAACTTCACAAAGGTGTCTCCCATTTGTATGTGTGTGAGAGGAGGTGACCAAAAGTGTATGCACAGTGTCCACACAGAAAGTTGAGATATCTAATCATTCTATAGATATCTGTAAACATATATAGATATCTATAGATGTATAGATATCTCAACTCCCTGTTCCCTACACATTTAATAAGTATGCCTTCTATGTGTTTATAGATGTATTGGTAAAATTACTGAGAAAAATATTAACAGTACAGAGCCAAGGACAGATTTCTGGAATGTGTCATTAGAAACGTCTCTAAATATTGACTAGCAATTTTCTTCATTCTTGGTCTATTGTGGAATGACAGCAAAAAGAATATTCCCCACCAACAACAAAACACTCTCAAATTTTTTCCTACCTTCTTATCCCTTAAACAATAAGATAGCTCTTTCTCTTATTTATTGCTAGCAATGATGAGAAACAGATAAAAAGTCAAAAAGGTTCTCTCTCTTTTTTTTTTGCATTTAGACCCCAAAGAAAAAGTTAAAATATACATAAATAATAATAGTAGATTTTTGGATTCAAAAAGGACTGATATGTATTTCCACTACGTTTAAATGGAAAAAACCAAAAACTGAACTGAGTATGTCTTTCATATATTTCACTACAGAAGTGAATTGGGAATAGTAGTCGGCACTAGGGATTTAGGCTGAAGAAAAGGATAGGTAAGGGTATGAGATGGAATGAGGGGACTGGATCTCCTGTTGCCTGTGAAACCAGGGCTAGGCCTTGGGGAGTAGCAATCACTGGTTGTGATCAGGAGACAGGGCATCAGAGATTTACCATACCTCTCTTTATCCTTGCTGATCCACTCACTGCAGATTCACTAGATCAGCTCTGGGAAGAGGTAAAAAATGAGTATTGGGTTTGGAAGGCTGGCCCATGCTGAGGGACCTTAGAAGAGGGTGACCATGATGGTGAGGGTTCTGAAGACTGTGCCATTCAGCACATCCACAAATTTAATAAACTGGAAACATTATGCCTCAAAATTTTATCTTTAGAGGAGAAATGATAGCTATCTTTAGGTATTTAAAGGAGTGTGAGATAGAAGAGGATTAGACTTGGTATACTTGGTCATAGGGCTAAACTAAGAACACCTGATGCAGGTGGTAATCAGGGCAAGTCTTAGCTTGGATAAAGAAAAAAATTCCTAACAATGAAAACTCTACAAGATGGAATAATTTTAGGGGATGATGTGTTGCCCCTTCACTAGGGCTCTTCAGGCATGGCTGGATGACTATCAAAAAGTTGTAAAGAGATTCCTGTTCAAATATGATTCCAGGTTCAGATCTACTAAATAGCCCCTAGACCCTTTTAAGCTCTGTGATCCTGTGAGGTAATGGTAGCAAAGGGGTTATAGTTCACTGGGCCTTCATGACGAAAGAAATTGTTTCTGGCCAGAAGACTTGAGACCTTGCTCATCTACTTATTAGCTATATAACTTTGGGCAAGTCACTTAACCTCTCTGAACCTCCATTTCCTTTTCTGAAGAATAGGAGTAATACTTGTACTGCCCATATTACAGAATTGCTATGAGAAACAAGTGAGATAATATGTTTAAAGTAGCTTGGTAACCACTGTAGAAATGTATGTTGTTATTCTCTCCGTCATCTTAATCTCCTAGAGAAGTCCACAGAAATAGGGTTGGAAGGAATCTGAGAGGCCACTCATATCTAAGCAAGAATCCCTTCTATGAAATGCTCAAAAAGTCACCCAACCTTCAGTTAAAGCTCTCTAATGAGTAGTAATCTGCCATGCCCTATGACAACCTATTTCATTTTTAAATATCTCTAATTATCAGGAAATTCATCAAACCTAGAAAGCTTGGGAAATTCAATCAAGTCCAAATGCCTGTCTATAATTTCCACACGTTGTTTCTAGTTCTGCCCTCCGAAGCTAGAGATACCACACCTAGTTTCCCTTTTACATGACTGTGCTGGTAGTACTCAGAGATACCTATCACACCCTTCCAAAATCTGCTTTTCAGGTTAAACATCCCTATTTGCTTCAGATGATCCTCATATCATATGGTGATTAGATTCTCCACTATCCTATTTGCCTCTTTTGGACATTCTCCAGTTTAACAATATCTTTCCTAAATGGTAGCACCCAAAACTAAATACAAAACTATTTACCAGATAAAATCTGGCCATACTGGAATATGATGGGACTGTCACCTTCCTAGTCCTAGACAGAAACTATTCCTGCTGTAATGTAAGCTAAGATCAAATTAATTTTTTTAGCTGCTATATCACTCTTGATTTGTATCATGTTTACAGCTCACCAAAACTTCCAGATATTTTTTCAAATAAAATGTTATCTAGCCATACTTCCTCCATCTTGTACTTTTGAAGTCAATTTTTTTTTTGGAGCCATGTAAAAATGTACCTCTAGTATCATTACATTTCTCATTTCTGAGCTCTGGTTTGTCTGAAATGCAACGTTCGTTATTCCTCATACATAACAGTTTATTTCCCTTTTGTGCAGTCTTTAATAACTCTCTGTGAAGATGATAACCAAGCCCAAGAAATCATTAAGAAGCTGGAGAAGAGTTTAAAGTTCCTTAACCAATGTACAATGAGAGTTGCTAGCAAGGCGGAGATGCTGGGAGCCATTAATCAGGTAACTCTACATTATTCACTTTGCAAGTGGAATAAATTAAAGGCTTTGGGTTCCCAAGTCACTAGATTATTTGAATTCTTAGTCACTACAATTTGAAACTTTAAACATTTGTATCTGGACAAATCTATGAGGATTTTTCTTGTCTAAATATGTACTGTGCTGGATTTGAAGGGCTGATTTTTAGAGGCTGGAGAGTTAATCCTTCTCTCCTGCCTGTTGCTCCAGGGCTCAGTTGTAAATGCTTTCTTAGTGAAATGTTCATGTTGTAAACGTGCGTGTGCACCACCAAAAAGAAAGCACAGCCCAATGCAGAGCTCATGGATGAAAGTAAGGCTTTTGTAGAAGGATATGGTATAATTGCCTCTCAGGTTGTGGGGAGTACAGGAAATCTAAAGAAGTACCTCAAGTGCTTTCAGATTAGGGGCATGCTCCTCTGCAGCTGTAAAGTCTCTGGTCACGTACACACCAACCTAAGAACCAGCATTTTTTTGTGGCTCAGTAGGCCCAGCCCATCTGCTTTTAGACAGAAGAGGCCTTGCCTCTGATGTGTGTAACCAACATCCACCATTTCAGATTTATGCCTCTGAGACCCTGAGGCAGTAATTGCTTGAGACAAGGTCTCTGGGCTCAGGTTTGGCTATCTGAGAATTCTAGGCCTTTATTATTACACAATAGCCTTGAGCTTGGGTCTGGCAAAGTCTCTTTCATATACTCTACAGAACCCAGGCAATTAGAGCCTCCCTTCTGGTTTATAGATGGTCATTATCTCTGGGATAGAGAACCACAAAAGAAAACAAAGCAGCTATTAAATATTTAGTGAAGCCAGGAAAAGGATCTTTTTAGATTTACGTATGTGTTTACAGAATATGGAATATCTAATACAAAGATACTGACTTTGATATTTCCTTAGGAGACATTTTTACAGCCACATCGTACACATTTTCTAGGATTATGCTCAGTATAAGAGCTTTAGTTTACACAACTACTTTATAGCCTTACTGTTTTCTTATCTACTTTATGTATACAAAGCTGTAATTTCCAGGAAAGCAGGTCAGGCAAGCAGAAGTACAGATGTTTTTCTTTTCTTTTCTTTTCTTTTCTTTTCTTTTCTTCTTTTCTTTTCTTTTCTTTTCTTTTCTTTTCTTTTCTTTCCTTCCTTCTTCCTTTCCTTCTTCCTTTCCTTCTTCCTTTCTTTCTTTCTTTCTTTCTTTCTTTCTTTCTTTCTTTCTTTCTTTCTTTCTTTCTTTCTTTCTTTCTTTCTTTCTTTCTTTCTTTCTTTCTTTCTTTCTTTCTTTCTTTCTTTCTTTCTTTCTTTCTTTCTTTCTTTCTTTCTTTCTTTCTTTCTTTCTTTCTTTCTTTCTTTCTTTCTTTCTTTCTTTCTTTCTTTCTTTCTTGGCAATCAGGGTTAAGCGACTTGCCCAGAGTTACACAACTAGTAAAAGTCAAGTATCTGAGAGTGGATTTGAACTCAAGTCTTCCTGACTCCAAGGCCAGAGCTCTATCCACTGAACCACCTAGCTGCCTCAAAGTGCTTTTCAACAAATGTTTCTTCTAAGTTGAAGAGGAGAGTAGAGACGGGGAGATTAAACCAGATACTATGAATTATCAAGCAGTCAGTCAGTGAACAAGCACTGATTGAGTACTTACCATGTGCCAGGTGATGTCCTAAGTGCTAGGAACATAAGCATAAGAATAAAAAAAAATGGCAGTCCCTGTTCTCAAGGAGCTTACATTCTAATAGGTGAAGACAACACAGAAAAAGAAAATGAAAAGAGGGAGGTGAGGAGAAAAAGGCACCTGGTGCTAGGCCAGAGTAGAGGAAATTCAGTGTGCAGCCTGGAGAGGAATGAGATGTGACTGATCTAGATACTCTCCTTAAATAAAGAGCCATCTAATCAGAGGAAGAAGCTGCATTCCAATGTGTAAATTCTCTCCAGAGCTGGAAAGAAGCAAAAGATTTATCATATTCCTCATCTCCTTTATTAGGAGTTTCTGATTATAGATCCCACTGATGATTCCTACATTCAGTGACTAAGTCCAGCCTCACACAATGGCTTGATCTAGTGCTCAGCTTTGTTTCTCACCTAGAGGTGATTTCATTTATTCCCCAAGAAAAATAAGAATCTAAAAATTCAGATCTATTATTATAAAATAAGATCCATGATTCTATTAAAGGCAATGGTCCCATACATTCCCTAGAAGCAAGAAATGCTTGCTTTATATTTCTGAAAGAAAGAATGGGACATAACTAAATTACAACTTTTTTTCAAATGTGCACCATGGGATGGGTTAATGCAGTCATAAAAACTATTGGCCAAATGGGCCAAATATACCCAAAGCATATTATGACATTTCAGTTCAAGTGAACAAACATTTATTGAGTGCCTGCTATGAAAGAGGTTGTAGGGGATATGTAAATGAATGAGACACGTAGTTTCTGCCCTCAAGAAACTTAGTCCTACTTTATCTTTACAGAAACCTTCCCTCCTACTTTTGTAAGAGAGATAAGACATAGATAAAAATGATTATAATATATAACAGCATAGTATAGCGGACAGCATGCTAGACTTGGTATCAGGAAGACCTCAGTTTTTTTCTTAATATCTAACTTTTAAAAATCAAATCTTATTTTTTCCAGCCAATGAAAATCTTCCTACACTCAAAATCTTCTTCAATTGAGAAAGAAAAATAAAATATTTGTGAGATACATATATATATATATGCATATATATATATATATATATATATATATATATATATATATATATATATCAATCACAAGTATTTTACATATAGTTAAGCAAAACAATCCATTGGCCGTGTCCAAAAATTATATCTGAATTTCTACCATAAGTCTACCAGAAGATGGGTAGCATGTTTCATCATGAACCTGCTTCAATGCTAGATGGCTATGGCATTGTTCAGCATCTTTGTCTTTCAAAGTTGCTTGTCTGTACAATATTATTGTTATTGTGAAATTATTCTCCTGGTTCTGCTAACTTCACTCAGTACTAGTTCATACAAGGTTTCTCTGCAACCATCTTCTTTATCATTTCTTATGGCACAATAGCATTCTATCACATCTTACACTTATAGCATGTTCAACCATTCCCCAAGTGATGGGCACCACCTTTATTTCCAATTCTTTGCCACTAACAAAAAGAGCTACTATAAATATGTTTGTATATTCTTAGAGTTTGTTTTGCTTGTCCATTAATCTACAGATCCTCTCATTTCCCTCTCTTCCCCCTTCTAATCTGTTTTCCTGTTGAATGAAATGTGTTTCTGTACCAAACTGTGTGTGATAAAAATGAGATTAAATTCCTTAACCTTTTCTCCTTGTTTTTATAGACTTCTCTTGTGTACCCCAATTACGTAAGATACTTTCCCTATCCTTGTTCTCTCGTTTTCTCCCCGAGGGTCGGAGGGTATTCCTATGCTACTCACATCCATTCTTCTTTCAAGATCATAAAAAAAAAACTAACAGAACCACTCCCAGCCTTTTCTAATTAGATCTCCTCTATGCTTTTTGATCTGGTCCCGAAGGGATATGTGTCATCTCTCCATATAAGAATGTAAACATTTTATCTTTTCTTGATCACTATGATTGTTTATTCATCTTTACTTTTTTTGTTTCTCTTGACTCCTGTGTTTTCACTTCAAAGTTTTGTCATTGCTGATCTTTTCATCTGGAATGCTTAGAAGTCTTCTATTTCCTAAAGATCATTTTTTCCCCTGTAGAATTATCCTCAGTTTTTCTGGGTAAGTTATTGTTGGTTGTAAGTCTACATCCTTTGCCTTCTGCAATATCATATTCTAAGCTCTCTGCTTCTTCATAGTGATGCTGCTAGATCATATTTTATCCTGACTGTGGCTCCTCAGTATTTGATCGATCTTTCTTTTCTTTCTTTCTTTCTTTCTTTCTTTCTTTCTTTCTTTCTTTCTTTCTTTCTTTCTTTCTTTCTTTCTTTCTTTCTTTCTTTCTTTTCTTTCTTTCTTTCTTTCTTTCTTTCTTTCTTTCTTTCTTTCTTTCTTTCTTTCTTTCTTTCCTTTCCTTTCTTTCTTTCTTTCTTTCCTTTCTTTCTTTCTTTCTTTCTTTCTTTCTTTCTTTCTTTCTTTCTTTTCTTTTCTTTCTTTCAATCTCTCTCATTCTCTCTCATTCATTCTCTCTCTCTCTCTCTCTCTCTCTCTCTCTCTCTCTCTCTTCTCTCTCTCTCTCTCTCCCTCTCTCTCTCTCTCTCTCTCTCTCTCTCTCCCTCCCTCCCTCTCTCTCTCTCTCTCTCTCTCTCTCTCTCTCTCTCTCTCTCTCTCTCTCTCTCTCTCTCTCTCTCTCTCTCTCTCTCTCTCTCTCTCTCTCTCTCTCTCTCTCTCTCTCTCTCTCTCTCTCTCTCTCTCTCTCTCTCTCTCTCTCTCATTCTAGTATTTTTTTCTTTGACCTGGAAGCTCTGGATTTGGTTTATAATGTTCCTGGAAGTATTCATATGAGGGTTTCTTTGAGGTGATGGCTGATACATACTCTCTGTTTCCACTTTGCACCTTTTTTTTAATGAGATCTGTGTTTTAAGGTGTTAAGAGATCTGGGCAGTTTTATTTTATGATTTCTGGAAGTATGATGTCTAGGTTTTTTTTTAAAATCATGGTTTTCAGGTAGTCCAATGACTTTGAAATTCTCTTTTCTCAATCTTTTTTCTAGGTCAGCTGCCAAGTCTTGCTGACCCTCCCTTCACATTAGTTCTTATATCTGTCTCTTCTCTGTATTCACATAACCACAAATCTAGTTCGGTCCTTTTAGTACTTCTCCTCAGCTTCCTAGCTAATTTTCTCTGCTACCAGTCTCTCCTTTCAGTTTTTAACAAAAAGAACAACAAATCCCAATAATTTCAGGTAGCTGCCAAAGTAATCATGCTGAGTCACAAATAGGATCCTCTCACTGCCTTGTTCACAATCAGGTTGAATGCAAACTCAGCTGCCTTTCATTTGAAAGCCTCTACAATCTGGTTCCAATCTACCTTTCTACCCTAATTTCAATTTATTCCTCTGGTCTGTATTCCAGACAAAATGGACTTCTGTCTATTCCCTAAACTCTAAATTCTATCTTTGCATTTGCACAAGTTATTCCTCTATGCCTGAAATGCCCATTCACCTAATTTGTGCCTCCCAAAATATCCAACTTCAAGATTCTTCCTCCTTTGGAAATGCTTCTCTGATTTAGTTATTAACAGTCTCACTCTCTCTTCCTCCCCCTTAAATTACCTTGTATTTAATATGTCTTCATCCATATTACACTCTCCCAGTAGAGGTTAAGTTTCTTGAAGTCAGGGACTTATTAAAAAAATCTGTGTATCCCCAGTACCTTGCACGTAGTAAATTTATAATAAATTTATATATATAATATAATAATAATATAATACAATGATATAAATATAATAAATATATAATATAACAATAATACAATATAATAATATAAATATTATATATAATATATAATATATAATAAATATAATGAATTGAGTTGATGTAAATATGGAATAGAGAATGGACCTATGTTTTAATTGGTAGGGGAAATTGCCACTGCAGTTCAGCACCTTTTCTGTAACTTATAGTCTTAGACAGTTGTCCAGGGCACTGAGGTTAAAGGTCAAAAGATTAGTATGTATCAGAGGAAGGACTTGAACCCAGGTCTTCCTGGTTCGAAGAATGGGTCTCTATCCACCATTTCATTCTATCTCTGAATATAGAATATATTAATTATAAATATGGAATTCATGATACAGATTTTTTTATTTTAGTGTTTGTTGAAAGAATACAGATATACAAGATAAAAAATTGTGCCTATGGGAAACAGAGGATCAGTAGAAGGGCAGGCTAGGGATAAGTACAGGAGGAGATAACGGTAGGAAGATGCTAGAACTTAGCATAGAAAGTGGGTCATGAAAGTAGAAGTTAGAAGGACCTAGCATGGGAGGAGACAAGTTTACTGAGTGGGAAAAGTTTTGTTCCCTTTTTTTCCCTAAGTAAGTAAAGTAGCAAGTAAGTACCCAATTGGAACCATAATTTATTGCCCCAGGTACCAGGCTGTGCATGCTCATTTCTGATAACTTAGAGTTCATGATAGAATTCTTCAAAATACAGCAATTACCAAAGGGGGAAAGAAGCAATTAAGTATTAACTTTGGTTTCCTCCTTTTGCCTGATGTCTGGATAACCTATTTATTCCCTTGTTCAGCCTCTCAGAAAAGAACCATAATATGGAGGGGATGGTGGAAGAATAGCATATATGTTGAGATATCAAAAAGTCTCCAAAACTCTTGATCAAAGAACATTGGATGTGGAGGCTGAAGATCTGTGTTTGAGGCCTGGCTCTTCTATTTACTAGTTGGTTTTTTGTTTTGTTTTTGTTTGTTTGTTTACCTTGGGGAAGTCTCTTCAGCTCTAGGATTCAATTCTTTCATCTATAAAAAGAGGGAATTGGATCTGGTGATTTCTAAGGGCCCTCCCACTTATAATACAGGGTAGCCTAAAAGTCTCAAAGCAGTTTTAAGCTTTAAAACTGCACCAAGACTTTTGGGCCGCCTTATATTTAATAATTCTTTTTGTGGTTGAGGATATCAGATAAAGTTTCTGAGGGTTAAAATTAGAAAGCCTGGGTTGAAATCTTTGTTCTACTACTTACTAGCCCTGGGATCCTGGGCAAGGTTGCTAGCTTTAATTTAAATTAGCTTTCGTGTAATTAATAGAGATAATGCATCCACTGCCTACCTCAGAGTTATGAAGAAAGTACTTCAGGAATCCAAAATGTTATTTAAATAGGATCTAATTATTGATGTTTTTGTATTGATATTTGTATTGACATGGACTTAAATGAGAAATGATTAGTAGGTTTTTTCATTTTGACTTCTTGCTTAGTCTCCTCCCCTATTTAGCCTCACAAAAAAGAATAATTTTTTTAAAATATATTTTTCCCCTATCAGGAAAGCCGAGTCAGTAAAGCAGTGGAAGTAATGATTCAGCATGTTGAAAACTTGAAGCGAATGTATGCCAAAGAACATGCGGAATTAGAAGAGCTGAAACGAGCCCTCCTTCAGAATGAAAGGCCTTTTAGCACCCTCGAAAATGAAGGTAATCAAGAATGTTTGAAAAACTTCCCCACTTTTGTTTTTCCAACAGTCTCCATTTATCCTCCTGTAACATGTTTGGAATAAGAATTCTTGATGGAGATTTTACTAATAAAATATCTTGCTTCTGCAGCCGTGTTATTTTCACAGCCAAAATGTGCTTCTCATGAGAAAACAGAGAAGATGCCTTAATAGCTTCATCAGAATGGAAGGAAGATGTACTTACTGCAGAACACGTGGCTAACACTGGAGTTCTTTTAGGATGATTTTGGCCTGGATTATTATTGCTTCTGTTTCCAAGCATGTGCTAAGGAATGGGGGGGGGGGGAACAACATCTTGTTGTATGTGATCCTATACCATATGATTCTGAGTTCTCCAGGAAGACATATGACCTACTTAAGCACAACAGGCTGAGGGACCTGGGGGGGGTCAAGGATGGAGGTGGGTGGAATGGGTAGACAGAGCAGGTGTGACAGGGAGATATCAGTCCCCAGGAAATACCATTTTATAAGATACATATGAAGTTAGGCTCTGGTTGTTTTGTTGTTGTTATTGTTTTAAAGTAAAAACAAATGTATAAGATTATATTGGATAGATTTAGGTGATACTTCCCCCTGATCAAATTTTAACATTCTTATTCTCAGTAGAATACTATGAGTAATACTGATAGAATCTCTTGTTTGAGTTATCCACTAACTTTTGAAGAAATAGTCTCACATGACAGCTTTGACCTGGAAATGTGAGTGAAATACCATAATAATGCTGGTGTTCAGTGGAAGCTTAAGTAGTAACATTTATTTTATTTTTATTTTCACATTTGAATTCTCTTCCTTCCTTTACCCCCTCCCCCACCCATTGAGAAGGCAAGAAACACAGTATCCATTATACTCTGAATTTAGGCAAAATATATTTCCACATTAGCCATGTTCCAAAAACAAAAACAAAAACAAAAGCATGAAAAATAAAGAAAAAAATGTTCTTCAATCTGCACTTTGAGTCCATCAGTTCCCTAAATGGAATTGGATAGCATTTTATATAATGAATTCTTTGGAGTTGTGCTGGATCATTTTATTGATCAGTCACTAAGTCTTTCACAGTTGGTTATCTTCACAATATTTCTATTATATAAATTGTTCTCCTGATTCTGCTCACTTCACTTTGCAGTAGTTCATGTAAGTCTAACCAGGTTTTTCTGAAACCATCCTCTTCATCATTTCTTAAAACATAGTAGGATTCCATCACATTCATATACCATAACTTGTTCAAGTCATTCCCCAATGAATGGGCATCCACTCAGTTTCTAGTTCTTTGCCACCACAAAAAGAGCTGCTATAAATATCTTTGTACGTATGAGTCCTTTTTTTTTTCTTTGATTTCCTTGAGGTATAGACCTCATAGTGGTATTGCTGTGTCAAAGGGTCTTACAATGGCACAGTGCTCTCTAGAATGGTTGGCCTAGTTCACAGCTCTGCCAATGATGCATTAATGTACCTATTTTCCCACATCCCTGCTAGCATTTATTATTTTCCTTTTCTGTCATAGCCAATTTGGGTGTGAGGTGTTACCTCAGAGTTCTTTTAAATTGCATTTCTCTAATTGTTAATTATTTAGAGAATATTTCATATGACTACTAAAAGCTTTGATTTCTTCTTTTGAAAACTGCCTGTTTTCATCCTTTGACCATTTATTCATTGAAGAATGGTCCCTGTTTTTATAAATTTAACTCAGCTCTCTATGTATTTGAGAAATGAAACCTTTATCAGAAACCTTTATCTTTGCAGCAAAATTTTTCCTCCAGTTTCTTGCCCTTCTAATTTTAGCTGCAATGGTTTTGTTACAAAACCTTCCTAAATTTCTGTAATCAAAATCCATTTTGCTTCCTGTGAACTTCCCTATCTCTTATTTGGTCACGAACTCTTTCCCTCTCCATAGATCTGACAGGCAATTTCCTCTATGTTCCCTAAATTTGTTTATGATAGCATCCCTTATGTGTATATCATGTACTCATTTTGAGCTTATCTTGGCATACAGTGTAAGATGTTGGGGTATGCCTAGTTTCTGCCAATCTGTTTTCCAATTTTCCAGAATTTTTTGTCATATAGTGAGTTCTTGCCCCAGTAGCTTGGATCTTTGGGTTTTACCAAACACTAGGTCACTGTGGTCATTCATGTCTGTACATTGTGGCCTAATCTATTCCATTGATCAACCACTCTATTTCTTTTCCAGTGCCAGATTGTTTTGATTATCACTACTTTGTAGTATAGTTTGAAATCTGGTATTGTGAGGCTACCTTCTTTTTTTTTTCTGGCTAGGCAATGGGGTTAAGAGACTTGCCCAGGGTCACACAGCTAGTAAATGTTATGTGTCTGAGGCCAGATTTGAACTCAGGTCCTCCTGACTCTAAGGCCAGTGCTCTATCCCCTGTGCCACCTAGCTGACCCACCTTTCTTTACTTTTTAAAATTTGATTTTCTTGATATTCTTGAACTTCAGTTCCTCCAAATGAATTTTGTTGCTATTTTTCCTAGATCTCTGAAATAATTCTTTGTAGGAGCAGCTAGGTGGTACAGTGGATAGAGCACCAGCCCTGAAGTCAAGAGGACCTGAGTTCAAATCTGGTCACAGACTAAACACTTGACAATTACTAGCTGTGTGCCCTTGGGCAAGTCACTTAACTCCAATTGCCTAAACAGACAAAAAAAGAAATAATAACAATACTTCTTTGGTAGTTTGAGGGGTATAACCTTGAATAAGTAAATTAATCTAGGTAATATTGTCATTTTTATTACATTAGGTTGGCCTATTGATGAGCAATTAATATTTCTCAAATTGTTTAGATTTATTTTTATTTGTATGAAGAGTATTCATATAGTTCCTGTGTGTTTCTTGGCAAGTAGACTCCCAAGTATTTTATACTGCCTGCAGTTATTTTGAATCAAAGTTCACTATCTTTTCCTGTTTGGTTTTATGTAAAAATACTAACGATTTGTGTAGATTTCTTTTATACCCTGTTACTTTGCTAAAGTTGTTAATTGTTTCAACTAGTTTTTTAGTTGAATCAGATTCTTTAAGTATATCATCATGTCACCTGCACAAAGTGATAGTTTTATTTCATTATTGCCTGTGCTTTTTCCTTCAATTTCTTTTTCTTGTCTTATTGGTATAAGTCACATTTCTAATATAGTATTGAATAATAATACTTGCTTCATTTCAGATCCTATTGGAAAAACTTAGTGGTCATACCCATTACAGATAATGTTTGCTCCTAGTTTAAGTAGATATTACTTATTTTCAGAAAAGCTCCATTTATTCCTATGCCTTCTAGTGTTTTGAATAAGAATGAGTGTTGCATTTTGTTAAAAGCTTTTTCTGCATCTATTTAAATAATCATATGATTTTTTATTATTGATATGGGCAATTATGATTATAGTTTTCCTAATATTAAACCAACCTTTCATTCCTGGTATAAACTCAGCCTGGTCATAGCATACGAACTTTATGATATGTTGCTGTAATCTCCTTGCTAGTATTCTATTTAAAAATTTTGCATCAATATTCATTAGGGAAATTAATCTATAGTTTGTTTTATTATAGGAAGGCCACATTTTTCTTTTTGTTCTAGCTGTTGGTGATCTGACTGCATACAGATAGCTAATTCTGATAAGTTTCTTATATCAGTAAACATCTTTTAGGTGCCTAAAGCAGCCTATGCCAGAATGATGTATTTATTTTTCAAGCCTCTTATGCCTGTACCAGAAATCATGAGGCAGTGCCTTGGAATGATTCCTGCCCCTAAATTCTGCTTTATTCTTTGTCCCTCCCTGTGTATTCCTGTCTGGCCTCAGAAGAATTACATAGCATTTAGCGATAAAGGTGGATAGTTCAGTAACCCAGCAGTAGAGATCAAGATGAAGCAGATTTTCACAGTCACCATTGTCTTGCCTTTGGTGTAGTGGTGTATGGGAAGAAAGGAGATCCATATACTATGTAATACCAGGATGCTGCATGTGATATACTTGGCTTTATTGAAGGTGTCAGGCAGGCCCCTCGCCAGAAAAGCCACAGTGAAGTTTCTCAGCGCCAAGAAGCTCATGTACACCAGTATATGATAAAAGAAAATGACAGAGCACTTGTTACATCCAATGATAATGTAGCCATGTTCAGAGAATGTGTCTGCCTCTGGGAATGGTGAAGAGGTTTCTAGCCAAATGCCACAAAAAATCATTTGGGTTGCAAAGCAAATAAAAACTGTATAGTTGGATTCTCTGAGATGAACCCACATCCTACTCCTGCTCCCTGGATTCATAACCTAAAGACCAGAACTGTATGATGGTTTTTGCTTAAATGAAAGAAACAGCCACAGTGAACACAACTCCAAATATTGTTTGTTGGAGCAGGCAGATGGCTGTTGTAAGACAAGTCTATGAAGAGCATCAAGCAAAGTAAACAGAAAGCAAAAGAGATGAGGAAAGTATGGCTGAGACCCTGATTATTGGCTTTAACTATGGGATGTCTTGGTACTTCACAAAGACCCACAGAACCAGAGCTCTCAGCAGAGAGAAGAAAATACGTATAGATGCCTAAGTCATTCAAAAGGCTCTGCAAAATCCAAGAATATAATGATCTTGGGGAAGCAGTAACCTCCCTCCTTACTTGAATACTGAACTACTGGGCACTTTGCACAATGCTCTGCATCTTTTTATGCTTCTCTTGAATCTTGTGTTTGAATGTCAAATTTTCTATTCAGCTCTGATCTTTTTCATCAGGAATGCTTGAAGGTCTTCTATTTCGTTAAATATCAACTTTTTCCCTTGTAGAATTATACCCAGCTTTGCTGGGTAGGTTATTCTTGGTTGTAATCCTAGCTCCTTTATCTTCTGATATATAATATTCCAGGCCTTCCATTCCTTTCACATAGAAGCTGCTAAATCTTGTGTGATCCAAACTGTGGATCCATGGAATTTGAATGGTTTTGACCTGGGAGCTCTGGAATTGGGCCATAAT